TGCATCACTTGGAAAAGGAGCTCTCACACCAAAGATGGACTAACATTTGTATGGAGCAAGTACTTGGGACTGAGCAATGTTAACTTTGAATCTGGATTGCCAGGCTCTACAGCACTATAGTTAGACGTGGAAATGGTACCCACTACACACAGCGGCTCTCAACCTTTCTAATGCTGTGATCCTTTAATACACTTCCTCATGTTGTGGTGACCCCCCCAACCATAAAATTATTTTCATTGGTACTTCAGGACTGTAATTTTGCTGTTATGAAAAATAAATATCTGGTATGCCACCCCTGTGAAGGGGTCTTTCCATCCCCAGGTTGAGGACCACAACACTGAGGCACAGCTATTCAGAACAGACTAGGACCTTGGATGCTGGGTGTGACGGCTGATCTTGGTGGTCAATTTGACATACCTGGGAAGGACCCTCACCTCAGGAACTGCCTCCATCAGATTGGTCTGGCAGCATGGCGGGGGTGGGGAAGTGTTTTAATGATTACTGATTGGTGTCGGAGGGTTTGTACCTAAACAGCCAGACTAGCTTGGAGCCCAAATCAAATGATTTAATCTGCTTGTGCCTTAGTTTCCCCACCTGTCGCATGGGAAGGAACAACTACAAGGATTTAACATATGAATGCTTCTAACGGTGCTCATCACAAATTAAGTTCTGTACAACTACACTGGGCTCAGATCAAGTGCTGATTATAGTCACTACAATGGTTTGGTTTCCTATGAACAAGAAGAGAATAGCTAAGGAGGCGATAAAGAGGCCATCTTGGCATTGGTTTCTTCCTCGGGCAAAGGTTCTGCTAATTTCCCTAGCATCCAGTTAATGAACTTGTGGCTCATAATCCTGCCCTAGTCTTACCAGGGATCTGCTGAAGGGACACCGTCTTCCCTGCATCAAGCTACCATATGGCTTTTTTGTCCTTACATGTCACCTACAGCAGCATGCCCAATGTACAGCCTTTGCATTTTTAAGACTTCAACCTGTGTCTGTAGTGATTACCTCAAGGAAGCCCCTGTATGTGCTCTACCTACTGTCCTTAAGGACACCGTAAGTCGCTGAACGAGCAGCTAAGCAGAAGCTTCCTGAACTTCACCCATGGACTTGATAGCAGCACACCTGTGGCTCCTGGAAAGTCCCAGAGTGTCCACCCTGCTCCTGGGGATTCGAAGATTTCCTGAGGGCCTGGAGAGATGGTTCAAAGCTAAAGCATATGCTGTATTTGCAGAGGCCCCAAGTTCAGTCCCCACGACCATGCTGGCCAGTTCAGAGCTGCTTGTAACCCCAGCTTCAGGGGAGGGCATGCCTGAGACTATGGCCTTTCAGAGCACTGAGAACCATGTGCATATACCCAAAGACATGTGATTAAAATAAGTTTAAAAGTCCCTAAGGAGTAGCTGAGACAAGAGGAGCTTGTTTTATTTTATTCTGAAATTCAAGAAAAATCCTAGAATTAATCAACCAAGAATCAGTGCCCAGGGCCATAGTGCCCTAGGTCCTCACTAGGTATCTTCTAGAACCGTGCCCGGTTCTCAACCTTTGCATTTAAGGACAAAAATGTTTTTTACATAGAGAGACCACTGGTGTTCAGTGACACAATCCAGCTCTACCTTTCCTTCGGTTCATTTTCTGGAAACCGGCAGCCTGGTCTATGTAAATTGGATTGCTGGTGGCAGTGCCCTTTGGTTCAGCAAGTGGGGTTAAAATAACAATGTCCTTCCAGCACTGCCTGTGGACCCTTCCTTGCCATGCTTACCAACCTTCTGGGTGCTGGTGGCATTGTCCACCTCTAACCTAAGAAGGAACTCCAGAATGGGGGTTTGAGCTGCACCCAGCACCTGATGCTCAGCTGGTAACAGGCTCTGGTCACTCAGTGACTAAGGTTGGTGAGCGAATGCCAGCCTGACAGCACATCCAGCCTGCTGGGTTTCCTCCTCCTCCTCCTGGCATGCGCGGCACCAGCATAAGCCACAAGCCTTCCCGTCTGTCTGGTCTTTTAATTCACTCATGGCCACAGGCAGGAGACAAAGTAAGTCCCTTAACCAAATCATTTTTATAATGAAGTCAAGCCAGATGGAGCCATGTGAGGGATTCAATCCTTGCTCTTACTTGAAGGTGAAGTCCTAACCTAACCCTTTGCATGGATGACAGCTCTCCCAGCTAACCGCTTCACCCTATACCCTCCAAAGGCCACCTGCACTCTCTTACAAAGTTGGTTACATAGTATCTTGTGGACACTTTCATTCACAAAAACCAGGAGAGAAAATCCTCCTTACCAGGAAGCATACCTTATATCTCAAAAAAAAAAAAAAAAAAAAAAAGGGTTTGGATCACTTTATTTAACTGCAAAAATGTAATCAGCTACCTGTTGGGTAGAAAGGCGAAGAGATGAAACTCAACAGTCAACTGCTGGGAAAGGAGACTGGGCAACGGTCTCAGAAGAGTACCTGGGCTCTGGGGTCCAGACACAAGTGAAAACCAACTGGAGAGACCTTCAGTCAGGATCCAGTACCTTCCCCACTGACTCTCCCTCCATTATCTAAGCTCTAAACTGGAATAAACACTGGAATAAAGGTGGTGGGTTCTTGTGTTTTAAATCAAGACTTCCCAGAGACGCAAAACCCATGGCCCCAGGGCTTCTGAGGCATCCTGCAAACTGTCCCAGGAGGTCCTTTCAGGATTCCCTAGCCTATGAGTACAACAGGAGGCTTGAGACTTTTTTGCTCATCCCCAGATGTCACAGCCTGGCACCTAACGTGTCAGATAAGTGCCTTTGTTAATAAAGGTTTTGTAATTCCTTGACCCCATCGGCTCTCCAGCCAAATGCTCATAAAATCAAAATAGGGCAATGACCATGGAACAAGATACAGTTCAATGCCAGTCACTGCCCACTGCACAGTGCAGACCACTGACTGCAACATGCCAACCACAACCCACATTCCATTAGGGTCCAGGAGAGCGGTTTCTCCATGTAAAGTATCTCACAGCCCCAAAGTATAAACACTAACCTCATAAATGACTGTCAAACGCTTTCTTAGAAAAGGTACTTCCTTTCCATTAACAAAACCCACTTTAAAAAAAAAAAAAAAGGAAAAGAAAGAAAAGTGAACTGAGCCTACCTAAATCAGACTCAGAACTGAAACTAAATCCCCAAACCGGGTCCTTGCAGGCTCATTTATCTACCAGGACATTTGAGTAAAAGGAGCATTATCTGTGGCTTTGGCACAAACGCATTTCCTTCTTTAAGGGTACAGTTTGGACACACCAACACACCCATCAATAAACTTGTGGTCCTCCTCTCCTTGCCCAATAAGTGAAGCCAGACCGTTTCAGTATTTTTAAAATAACTCCGGGGGTGGGGGATGCAATCAGAGTCCACCAGGGTAAGAAGAAAATGGGGGTGGGGGGAAGGTAGTTGTTCCCTTCGTGTGATCTAACCCACTGGCTTCAAAGCGGTCTGTCAAGTTCTTCAAGGAGCACTTGGGCCCCCTATGGCCTGCCCCTCCCCCAAAGAAAAGGTGCAACGACGTGGCCAACAGGGCCACCAGCTTGGCGTCCAGGGCCCTTGCGGGGAGGCGGCGACCACAGCCTCTAGAGACAAAGTTCTGTAGTGCACTGACTTCTATCATACTCAGAGTCGAAGTGTCTCAGAACTTTGCCTCAAAAGACCAAACCGGCTGTCTTCCTCTAGAAGTTTCGTCCTGCAGGTGTGTTCCCCGCCACCCACCACCCCACCCCCAGCGTAGGCAAAGAAGAATAACTCATTAGAGGCAATTTAGCTCAGGATGAGACCAATAGTGGAACGGATCATTAATTATGGAAAATTACTGCCGCAGTCAGCAGGCGTAAAAGCCCAGTAGAAACGGTGTCCTAACAGACTCTGGTGGCAATGTCACGACCAACGGACCGCAGGAAGCACACAATGCCTCCTCCTTCCTTCCCACCCCACACCAGAACCTATACACTGTCCAGCCGCCACCTCCTCCCGGCCTGTTACTAAACTTTGGCAAGAAGCTAACTCACTCCATCTAAGTTGTCGTAACTTTTTACCTTCCCATCTGGAAAGTTAGTGGGGGCGGGGAGGACTGCATGAGGACGAACGAATTCCTGGAGTTGGGAGTCAAAGTCGGAGAACACGAGCCGGAGCAGTGCTCCACAGATGGGACGTCCCGAAAAAGCCAGGCTCTTCGAGGCCTCCCCTTTCCCCAAGCCATTCTCACCACGCTACTCCGGTTATCCAGCTGCCCGCGCACAGTCCCGGGAACCCGCGTCCACGCAGCCCTGGCCCCTCGGTGCCACCCACCCAGTTTCCCGGATTCCCTCTGCCCTCTTGGGCAGCGCCTCCGCAGCGGATCTGCACTCAGCCCACGACACAGGCCCGGTGCCCCTAGCTCGCCCACCCGGGACCACCATGCGGAGTCCCGCACACCTCCCCACGCACTGCGCGCAAGCAGCTGTTGCGCGCGTGCAACAGGTCCGCAGAGCGCAGTCCCCATCCTGCCGGGCCGGTGAGTGCAGCCGACAGAGCAGGGGTCCAGAGCTCCGGAGCTGCGGCCGGGGGTTGCCTCGGCCTGTCTGGCCTGGCCGCCCTCCCAAAGGGGCCCCCCGGGCGCCGCAGCCCGGCCCTCCGCGTCCCCGGCCGTTGCGGCTAGCTCCCAGTGGCCGCTCCGCTCCGCTCCCTTCCATCTTGACTTTTGCCGACGTGGAAATTTTGGGTTTGGAGACGACCTGCGCTCTTATTGGCTGCCGGCGGGCGGGGTCGGAGGTCACGGCTGCTCTTGCTATTCCGCGCCAAGGGGAGCCGCAAAACGGCTCGTGTCAAGTCAGCAGGTTCCCTCCGCCTCCCCGGGGTCACGTGCGCGCTGGGCGGGGCGGGGAGCCGCCTCCTTATGCAAATAGAGCTGCGACCAGGGCTTCAGGAGGGAGGGGGCGGGGCCTGCAGCCAGAGGGGCGGGGCGGGGGCGGGCCCAGAGCCGGGCGGGGCGCGGCGCTCCAGGTGGCCACCTGGCTCCAAGTCCGGCCCCGCCCGGCCTCTGGGTTCAGCGCCTAGGGTGATCTGGCTTAGACGGGGTCTCCTTCCCGCCTGAGTACGAGAAGACGCTGAACGCAGCTTTGCCCGCAGCTTCATCCAGGCCGGGCCAGAGCCCAGATTGGGCCTGGGTCTCTGCTGGGTAGGGGAAGACGAGGCCGCCTCCTAGGCAGAGTGGGAAATGGAAACCTCGAATAGGACACGTTGACTCCTCCGGGGCTGAGTGTTAAGAACTGACAGCAAGATTCTCGGTAAGAGAATTCTAGGACAAAGCTTTATCAAGTATTCATCAAAGTTAAGAAGCCATCCCTTTTAATTAGCTGCCCACTGCCCATCTCTAAGTAAAAGGAAGCCAGGAACTACCTAAAAGTGTCAAAAATACCAGTTTGTTTTTTAACGTCTACAGGGTCTAACCCAAAGGTCGGTCTGTCTGCACTCTGACCCCTGCTGGACTTCAGCCACCTGGAGTCAAGGTCTCCTCCTGCATCCGGAAGGAGGACCTAAATCAAGGAGCTCCGAACTGCTCACGTCCAAAAGGGTAAAAGGAAGCAATCTGTACGTGGTTCCCCAAGCACGCATGGAGGAAGGTTTTTGTTGAAGAAAGGGGATTGAAAGAGAGACCACATGACTAGATTTCTTCCGTCCGTCCCTCCCCGCCCCCCCCCCACCGCTCCCCAAGAAGAAGACAGCCATATCAAGGCAGAGGTAGAGCGCAGGTTATTGTGAAACCCACGGCCTCTGGCCACCAAAGGAAACGGAGCTGCAGCTTGTAAAATTAGGTATTCCTCAGAACAGGCCTGGTTTCTCTTTGTGATTAGCGCCTATATCATCTTTTTTTCCCATCTTAAGTCTGGCTGAATGATATAGAAAATGAAAGATACATTTTCATGGGAAGATTCTTACCTGGAAAATTCTTCCCTTCCTGTCTTCTTAATTTACTGGTCCCTTCTCCCCCTTTCCCCCTTTGGAAAGATAAATCCTTGCTCCATCCAACTGTTTATCCTCGGGGATCTTTCCACTTCCACACTTGCGTATTTATCTGACCCTTCCGGGTTTGCATTTGCGGAGGTTAGGGGGCTCTCCCCAGGCAATGCTTCCAACCCCCCACCCCCTGCTTGGCTAAGACCTGCTAGCAGTGCTCGCTGGGCCTCGGAGTTGGTCCAGGCTCTGCCGCAGGTTCTGTTGTGTGCACTGGAATATTGATTTTTCAGTGTGTGCGCGCGGCTCTGTAAAAAAAAAAAAAATCAATATTTCAGTAGCTCAAGCACACAGCGCGGGGCAGTGTAATGGAGCCGGCCTGCTGATGTAATGTGCGGGGTCCACCTTCAGCGACTGAGGTCAGACAAAGGCAGTGTCCGTCCCTCTTCCATTGTTTGCTTCACGGACAGGGGAGGGGGTCGGCCTACGCTTGTGTCCATCAGAGGCCAAGCTCCTGGGTAGCATAGAAAGGGGGGGGGGGCAAAGCTGATGGCTGCGAATGTTCTATTATCCATTTATGTGAGAACTCTTGCATAAAACATTAGGCAATGTGGAGTTATTCCCAGCCATCAGTTTACCAAATTTTACTAGGAACAAAAGAAAACAGACTTGCTCCAGGACAAGCCCTGAGTTGGTCTTTTAGTAACTGGCTATCTGGAAGCGTATTAGCCTTCTGTCCCATAACGAGCCTCTGCCTAAAAAGACAACAGATTTCTCACTGGCTTCAAAGGGGAAAACAGATCAGTAAGTGTTGGTGCCTGGGGGCTGGCTATCTTCATGACCTCAGCAGCTGATGAGGACAGGAGGCTAGACCTGAGTGAGGTATGTGGGTCCTCTGGGCTCTCCCACTAGATGAACCCCCTGTTTTTACCGGTAACTTAAAGGGTTAGATTCTGCGACTTCTGAATATCCTTCTAGCTACTACAGCTCTACAGAAGAAAAGATGGTATAGCCAAAGACAAAAGTATAATTATGTTAAGTGTGGCTCTTAGATAAGAAAATGGATTAATACCAAGGACATTTTTGAGGCAGAAGGTGCCTTGTTCCAACTCTAGCTGGCTGTGATTTAAATTCCATTGCATTGCCATCTTTTTAGAGGGTAATTTGGCCATTTTCTAAAATACACTTTTTTTTGACCCAGCTCTTCTTGTTCTAAGTTTCCCTAAAGAAACACTATCATTTAAATGAAATTCACCGCTTGCATTTGTGTGTCACTGAAACACTGGAAACAACGTGGGACCTATCACATAATACACGGTAATGGCGTGGCATTCGGTGGGGTGCGGCTACTTCATAGTGGGGCCGGCTAAGGAGATGTTTGCAGTTATTGATGTGCAGTGCTGCTGGAATTTGAGTCTGTCCAGGAGTGTCCCAGCGGCCCAGGATATGGACTCTGCAGCTCGCTGGCTTGGGTTGAAATCCCATTTTCATCACTAGCTGGCTTTGTGTCACCTCCCCGTTTATTTGTTGGTCTCCTGTTGCCTGTGGAAAGCAGTGCATGAACTCGCAGGCTCAAAGTGGTGCTGATGTGTCTTACAAGCCCTGGTGCTCAGAAGTCCAAAGTGAGTGTCACTGCGTAAAAAGGGTGGGGCTTCCCTCCCTCCTGAGACTTCAAGGACAACCTGCTCCTCTGCCTTCCCTGGAGGCCCCTTGGACCCCCTGGCTACAAGGCTGGGAAGTGCAGACCTCTGTGTTTGTCATTTCTCCTCCTACCCCTGATGCTCCTGCCTCCTCACAGGAAGAGACTTATGAGGGATCAGTTCAAGAGTCATCTCCCCAACTTAAGTTTCTCTAGATATCTCCACATTAGCCACCATTGGGGCTCTGCAGCCTTTACGACGCCAAAACCGAGAGCTCTGCAGGGTTAGACTCCTTTCTGAGAACTCTTGCGGGAAATCCTGGTCAGTTAGGGTCTAATCACGTTTCTTCTTCGGTTTTTGGTCAGCAACAGGGTTGAGTCTTCTATCTCAGTCCTCAGACACCAATCCTCCTGCCTCCTTTCCTCTTCCCGTCTGAATGTGTTGGGCCCAGATAGGACATTGAGGATAATCTCCTTATTTCAAGGTCAACTAAATATCAAACTTATTTCTATTTGCAGTCTTATAGTTCCTATGTCAGGTAACATGACATAATCACATATTCCTGGGATAAGGATATAAACACTGTTGGGTGTGGTAGCGCTCCCCTTAAACCCAGCACTCAAAAAGAAAAAAAAAAAAGCCATGTGCTGGTGGTACATGCTTTTAATTGAAAACTCAGGAGGGAGAGGCAGGTGGATCTCGGTGAGTTTGAGGCCAGCCTCATTTACAGAGTGAGTTCTGGGACGGCCAAGGCAGGAGGATCTTTGTGAGTGTGAGGCCAGCCAAGGCTATATAATGAGATCCCGTCTAAAAAAGAGAAAGAAAGAAAGAAAGAAAGAAAGAAAGAAAGAAAGAAAGAATGTAAATATTTTAGGATCGCCTGACAAATTCAAGATAATGGTGATAAGCCCTTCCAGAGAGTTGGGAGAACATATGAAATAAAATATATAAAATGTTTAGCATAATACTTCGTGCGTGGTAAGCACAACATAGTAATTCTCACAGAGCAAAGATTCATCCCACAGTGACTGTCTAGTTTTGCCTGGAAAGGAAACAAAGACTTTCCCAGCCCCATCTGAAAGATGGAACTAAAACTGGTTTAAATTTTCCTTATTTTGCAAATGTTTTTCTTTTCCTTTTTTTCTACCAGGAACATGCATGACTTGAACATTAAAATATTTTCTAAATATTTCTAAAAATTTAAAGATCAATAAATAAATAGTGGAAAACAAAGCATTGCTCCAAAAAATCCTATATTATGAAAAAAATAGTCCTATAAAGACAAAAAAAATGGCAAAAGACATAAGTAAACACTGAAAGAAAAAAAGATTTTAAAAAAAGGCAAACAAGCATAAAGACATTAATCAACCCTTGTTAGTCACAACGAAATGTAAGTTAGAACCTCAGTGAGGTCACGATGATAGCTCACACATGTAATCACAACACTCGGAGGCTGAGACAGGAGGTCACAGGTTACCGTCTACCTTTGTTGGCATAGTGAGATCCTGTCTCAGAAAAAAAAAAAAGGACTTGAATCAAATATTCTATTCTCATCAGGTTGACCAAAATGTATGAGTCTGACAACAAAACAGACATGGATGGTGCGTGACAATGGCGGTTGCTGTTTCTTCACACAGCAGGTCGTTAAGTAACAGCAAACATGATTGACAGCTCCTCACACCATCATGATTGGACCTGAGAAACATGATGGGGGAGGGCAGAGAGTAGGTCCCCGGAGACCACAAACTCTTTGCTCTCTAGATAGTGCTCAACCACGAACCAAGCTAAACATGCATTTGAGGCATTTGTAAAGTGCAAGCGAAGCAGGGCCGGGGTAATGAGAGCATCTAGGAAAGTGGTTAGGATGGAGGGAGAAAAGGATGAAGGGGGAGCCTGAAGGCTGATGCAACTGGTTCCGCTCTAACTCAAAAGCTGGACGGTGCACTTATGCGCCCAAGTGTTCTCTGTACTGGGCTTCACAAGTGCATTTCTGGGAGGAAGGGAGAGGAGTGAGGGGGGAAAAGGGAGGAGGGAGGAGGGTAGTCTTAGGGATATCAGCAGTAACTGGCACCTAGCTATTAGCATTTATCTGTGGAGATGGAATGTGACAGAAGCTTTATTGGGAGGGAAAAACCCAGGAGGGTGGCTGCCTCTGTTTTATCAAGAAGCAGCCAAGAACTGAGCAGAAGACAGGGTTTATATAGGGTGCCTTGAGTGCGGAGCTCTGTAGGGTGGAGATTTCCAGGGTGGGGACTGGTGGGTTTTCAAGTCCTGAGCTTGGACTTTTTACTTTGCCGAGTGGAGCTCTGCCACCTGTGTCCGGAGGGGCTGAGTCTGTTGGAGTTCTGTGAGCAGAGCCAGGAGGGTGGTAGTCCCCAGGGGTGGGGCCTGGAGGGGCTTACAATGGCAATACACAATTTGGGGAGGAAGGGGTTATTTCAGCTTACACCTCCACAACACAGTCCATCACTGAGGGAAGTCAGGGCAGGAACTCAAGCTGGGTAGAAACCCGCAGGCAGGAGTTGATGCAGATGCTGCTGCTAACCTACTTACTTCCCACGGCTTGTCCAGCCTGTTATAGAACCTGGGACCACCAGCCCAGGTCTGGCCCCTCCACGTTAGTCACTAATTGAGAAAATGCCTGAAGGCTGCCTGTAGCCCTGCCTGATTTGAGGTCCGCTTTTCTCAGATGACTCTAGCTTGCGTCAAGCTGACATGAAAACCGTCCAGCAGAGGCGTATAAAGAAACCCACCTCTGACCACCAGTTCCGGCAGTCATTAACTCAGACCACTTCTGTTTCATGTGCACCCCCCCAATCCCCACATCATGCCGTGAGGATGTGCTCCCAGGCAAGCATTATCAGCAACACTAGGGGCACCTCTAAGACACTATCAAAAGCTATTGTAATAAATACATGAGAATGCCTAAGTCGTTCATACCTGAAGCTCCCTCAACTTCTCTGAGGGCACTTTCCTTAAGTTCAACACAAGGGAAGCCGATATGGGACTGAATGGCTGGGAGGAGGGGGCATGAACTTTTTAAGGTCTCTGTTTCTTCAATCTGATCATCATCAATGGAACATTGAGAGTTAATGAAATATCATTAGTCCTACCGCCATTATCTTCACTAGTCTCTACAGTCTGTCCAATGTACGTTGTGCGGTGTTAGCTTCCTACAGCCTAAATTTCATCATTGTTTCTATAAACACCAGTGCACGGATTAGTTTTTGTCATACACACTAGAGGCAGTTAGGAAAAAGGAATATCAGCCAAGGAATTACTTCCATCTGATTGGCCTGTAGAGATGCCTGTGGGAATTTTCTTAGTTAATGATTGATGTGGGAGAAACCAACCCACTGTGGGTGGTACCATCCCTGGGCAAATGGTCCTGGGTGCCACTAGAAAAGAAGCTGAGCAAGCCATGGGGAGCCAGCCCGTGAACAGTGACTCCATGGCCTCTGCTTTAGTTCCTGCCTCCAGGTTCCTGTTTGAGTTCCTGCCTTTGCTTCCCTGGATGGTGGACCATCTAAGTTTGAAATAAAGCCTTTCCTTCCCAAGTTGTTTTTGGCCAGTGTGTTAGCATGGCAACAGAGAAGCAAAGTAAGATGTTAAGTGTATGTTTTAAACAAAGCATTGTACTGATTTCTGGAGAAGAATCGGTGATGGAGCAGTTTTAACCTCTGTTCCATAATAAAGAAGTTGGTTGCTGTCCATGGTGGGTTGCTTGACCATACCCGAGTAGCTAATGAGGTGGCTGAGAATGGAGGAGCCTGGTCACCATGGAAGGACCAACCATCTGACTAGGGGAAGGAGATTGAGGCTTTGGGCATAGTGATATAATCCACCTCCAGAGAAGGAAGAGGAGCTGGAGACTGAGTTCAGTCATGTCCTCAGGGTTTCACCCAATCATGTCTTTATAACGAACTGCTGTGAGGATTAATCTTGATTTTCAACATAAAAGATTTAGAATCGCCATGGAAAGGAACCTCGGGACAAGCCTAGATTTGGTTAACTAAAGTGGGAGGTCTCACCCTAAATGAAGGAGGCCCAGTCCCTGGGCTGGGGTTGAAGACAGAAGACTTCCCTCATTCCCACTTAGCTTTCCCTGCCTCACAGTTGTGTCTCAAGATGTGAGTTCTCTACCTCTCCAGCACCATGTCTGCTTGTCTGTTACCATCCTCTTCACTATGATGACAGTGGACTCTGACCCCCCTACACCATAAGCCCCAAATAAGTCCTTTCTTTTATGCATTGCCTTGGTCCGAGTGTCATATCCCAGCACTAGGAAAGTAACTAAAGGAAGGAGTACTGGATCTGGGTTACTCGGGAGGAAGCACAGGAGCCTTGCTTGGATCCTTTGAAGATGAATAAGATTGAACATACAGAAGTTGTGGTAAAATATAACATTTATTGAGTAACAAATAAACATACACACTTGTGTTAGTCATAAACTAAGAAGTTTGACTCATAAAGAATAAAGATTTGGGTACCTGGTTGTAGTTCTAGCCCAGGGCTGGGTCGACTCTCTGCTAGGAGTACCAGATGGCAGAGAGTAATGGAACAAATTACTCAAATCATGGTTATGAAGCAGAAGCACAAATAGGAAGGAGCCAGGGTCCCCAGATCCTTTTTGAGTGTGTGCTTATAATAGCCTACTGTCCTCTCCCTAGGCCCCACCTCCTGAAGGTCCCACCCACCTCCCAGAACTACCACTCTAGAGCACAATCCAACAACACAGAGACTTTTGAGGGTCACTCACATCCAGACTAAAGCAACATTTCCATGGCAGTGCATAAATATCGTTTCTCTTTCACTGGCAGGTAAATTGAGGCACTCTCAGTAATTTATCAACTTGCCAGGAGCTACACACTGGATTTGAACCCAGAAAACAGGACTCGGTGACCTCTCTTTGTTTGTTTGTTTGTTTGTTTTGTTTTTGTTTTTATTTTTTAGTGTTTCAAGACGGGGTAGCTTTGGAGCCTGTCCTGGAACTTGCTCTGTAGACCAGGCTGGTCTTGAACTCATAGAGATCCACCTGCCTCTGCCTCCTGAATGCTGGGATTAAAGGTGTGTGCCATCACTACCACCCAGCTTCAGTGGCCATGCTTAACCATCACATTCAACTCTTTCTGCAGGGGAATTTTCCTGGGGGAAGGAAAGAAATAGAGGGGAAAGCATTCTAGGCGCAAGGAACTAGGACGGATGACATTAGACTGTGAAGGCCAGTCTACAGACTGACCTTGCCTTAACAGGCAGTCAAAACCCAAAGCTTCTTAGTGGGAGGGTTTTGTAGTGGGCTTCTGGACTTCAGTAGGAAACTACAGTAATGTGCATTTCCCATTTTAAAGCAGGGTCCCACCCTCCACCCAGACAGCTGCTTCCCCTTCCTGAAGGGTTCATCTCTTTCTATCTGTGCCCGTACTGTGGTAGACAGTCCACACGCCAAAGAGAACCTACGTCACATCCTTCTCATTTTTTAATCTCCCATGGAAATTGGCTTAATACTCACTTCAGGCACTTGAGGCTTTGCTGAATAAGTGGGTATTAAACTACGTAAAACCATATCAAATCATTGATATTTGACCCTTTTGTCCTACAAAACAGCGATTCATTTTGGCCTTATTATGCTTTAGGAGTTGTGTTACAGTCATGCTTCAGAGATAGACTAGTAGGGAAATTCAAGTGTGCACAAGGAAAGGGGTTAAAGCAGCAGCTGGAAACTATAAGCAGCCATTCTTTGCTTACAAACAACGGACAGATTGAAACTAGAGTGAGTACATACATATGTACATGTAGAGTCACATGTATGAAGAGAGGCATGGAAGCCTGTTGGTAGGTTTTCCCTGCGATGATTAGAACCATGCAAACTGATCATCACGAGCTCAGATTCTATTTGAAATGGATTTATAAGCGTCAGATAAGACTCAGTACAGTAGATCCAATATGAATGCAGGAGATAGGGAAACATGACACAGAGAAAATTCTTATTCAAGAGAACAAAGCTTTCTGGGGATTCTTTTTCAATGGTTGAGCAAAGGCCATGTTTAGGCTTCAGCCAAAAGTTAAGAAACTGTGAAAATTGATTGTTGGTTACATTAGAGACAATACTGTCCTCAAAGGGGGAAGACAAGCTTACCAAGGTGTCTTTCTGTCTTAGATAGGGTTTCTATTGCTGCGATGAAACACCAGGACCAAAAAGCAAGCTGGGGAGGAAAGGTTTATTTGGTTTACACTTCAGCATTGCTGTTCATCACTGAAGGAAGTCAGGACAGAAACTCAAACAGGACAGGAACCTGGAGGCAGGAGCTGATGTAGAGGCCACAGAGGGGAGCTGCTTACTGGCTCGCTTCCCCTGATTTGCTCAGCCTGCCTTTTTATAGAACCCAGAACCACCTGCCTGGGGATGACACCACTCACTATGGGCTGGACCCTCCCCCACTGAACACTAAATAAGAAAATACCTTACAGCTGGATCTCGTGGAGGTGTTTCTCCAACCAAGGCTCCTTCCTCAGATGACTCGAGCTTGTGTCAGGTTGACACACAGAACCAGCCAGTTCACCTTCTTAAAGCAAGAGAATTGTCTACATCCACCCCTAGTCCCCGCTGAGGTCTCTCACTGAGCTAAGGCCTAGTTCTCTACAGGGCCAAGAGTCAAAGTTACCCGGCAAAGGATGGCTCTTGCCTGTGCAGTTTAAACAGAGGAAGGGGACAGTGGGGTTCCACGGGGAGTAACTGAACACAGTGAGCTTGTCTTATCTCGTGTGTTTGTTCAGTGTAATTGAGCAGCAGAGCAGAAGGAAGTTTATTTCTGGAGTAGCTTAGACCTGCTTGTTGGCCAACTCTTCTGAAGCAGCCCTACCGCTGGGAAAGATTTTTCCAGAAGGTTCTATACAGGACAGAGTGCGCTCTACACTACTTGTTCAGTGAAGACTTTTGTGTCCAGCTATAGGAAGTTGATGATCAGAGCTAGAAGGGAGGATCAACGTGACTTTCGGATCTGCACACAGAGGGTACAGGCTCCCCAAGGTGTGGCATGGAATGCTGGTCCCATGAGAAAACATGCTGACCACATGCATTTACAAACCCTGTGGAAATTCCTTGACAGGCTGAGGCGATTTCACTTTCCCCACACAGCTTCATAACCAGTGCTTGTGAGACTCCTTCAGTGCAAACCATGTAAGCAACAGCCACTAACGCTGCTAGAAGCGTCCAGGCCGACTGAGGTTCTGAGAGTTGCCGCCTGCCTTCTGCGGCTGCTCATATATATCTTCACCATCTTTGACATCCTTCATCCATCCAGGACATCTCTGCTAGAATCACTTTTTTTTTTTTCAGGTTTGGTTCTGACCCTGGAAATTTGTTTGAAAGAGGGACCCCAGCGGCTGGGTCTTTGTAGTCACTGAGGACAACTGTATGAAACAGTGTCCTGCCTGGCACTAAAGTCTGTGTCCCTTGTGTCCTTCCTCCCCTAACTGAGGGAGCCCTCTTTCTCTTGCAGTTTTCTCTTCCAGAGGACGTCGGAAACTGCCATGGAAACGCAGAGACCAGGCCTTTGTAAGGCCTCACATCTCCCCCGCTGCCACCCTGTTTTGCAGCCCCCCTGCCGTCTGGCTCCTTTTCTAGCCTCCTCTGGTGCTTCAGGTCTGGACCACATCCATTTTCTGGACCCTCATCACTCACTCCCCACACATACACTTATTTTCCTTCTTTAATTTAAATATTTTTTCTTTCGTTTTTAATTATTTGTATGAGCGTGAGCTTTTACACATGAGCACAGTGCTTGTGGAAGGCAGAAGAGGGTACCAGATCCACCTGTACCATTTGTAGGCCCGAAGCCTCCTCATGTGGGTGCTAGGATCTGAACCTGGGTCCTCTGTAAGAACTGAGAGTCCTCTTAACCACTGAGCCCTCTCGATGGCCTTGCCTTTAACTTGCAAACAACATAGACATCACGTCTGAAAGTGTGTGAAAGGGCAAGCCCAGCCCAGCACTCGGAACTCAGCACAGCCCTTGCCTCGGGGCTCACCAGCTGACATCTGCTGCGTGCGTTCAGTGTCTTGCAGTCTCCGCCACCCCCAGACTATAAGGCCACTGAAGACGGACTGCTTCTCGGACTCATCTTCAAGACAGCACCACGCACACTGTGAAGGCGGCCTATAGACTTCTGCTGGCTGGGCAGCTGTGCCATGCTGAAAGGAAGAATGAAGGAATAAAGAGCAAACTCCCACAAATCCCCTTCCTGGTCCTTTCTTGTGAAACTGTAAACATCTTTAAAGGGGTTGGAGAACTCCGCCAAGAAGCTTTAAAGCTGTTGAAGACACACTGATCCTGCCCACCAGTGTAGTAAGAGGGGAGAAAATAAAGCTACTTTTGTCTTTAAATACACACTGCCGCCTGACATTCTTTGTGGAGATTTCTATATATAGAACCGTCTTATTTAAGGCTAAGTTAGGCCATCAAACTCCAGGTTCTCGTTTCTCTGGATGGCGTGTCTCAAACACCAGTGACTTGATGCTCCCTCTTAGCCTGATCACCCTGTGGACAAGGCTCACCTTCACAAAGCACGTGTTCCCTCTGTGAGGCAGTAACCTTTTCAGTATGGAGTATCTGAATCTGATGGCACTTCCGAGGAGCTAAATAAGATGAAAGTTGGCTTTTCTCAAACAGGACAAGGACGGGGCCAGGGAATGGACCATAACTTGACCTCCATTTACTCTGCCCCGACACTTCGCATTTCCTAGTGGCATCTCCTTACACTCTGTGAAGCTCAGAGAGGAGTGGCTGACTTGCCTGCTGTCGCCCTCTTTAGAGCAGGGGGCCAGGGCTCAGCCTGGTCAGCAGGGGTAACCCCTTCGGGGGTCAGTTTCAACTGTTAAATATGAGGAACGTTAGTGGAGGCGATCCTGACCCCTCGGCTTATTTCTGCTCCTGGATGGGATTTAATTGTGAGGTTCAGAGACATCACGCCCGCCCCCCACACTCCACCTCACTCCCGAATGAAATGAAAACCCTGACAAACTGATGCAGAGCTCTGCACATTCCTGACACTCAGGCTTTGGTCCTCCTGCCTGGAATCCCGACTTTCCCACTGCTGTCCTTCCTCAGGAAGACAAGTCTTCCTTCAGCGCAGCCACAGGGTTTTGCCGACAATAATTTATCCCTAAGGCCACTGTTAGCTCATATGGCCCATGTGTCAATCAGAGAAAGATACCATTTCATATGGGTGAGTCAGGAAAGATGAGATAACGCTAAGGACATCTTTTTATTCAATTTAGAAAGAAAATTAGGGCCAGAAGGACCCTCATCTCCCCTCCTGGCAGGCCCATACCTATAACATAAGACAAGAGGTGAATTTGGTGCTCACAAAACCTGTGGCTTAGTCTGGTTGCAAGATCTATCTTGTTAACAGTGGCAAATGTTTTCCTTCAGGACAAAATCTCTTCCAAGCAGAGGAGCCAGGTCAACAATCTGTGTGAGAAACAGGTCTTTGTCCTCCAAGTCCGTGATCTACAGGTTGCCAGCTATTCATTGATCGCTTCCGTTTTAAAGTCGGTTGGTTGATTGACGGTGATGACGATGCTTCATCTTTGACTCTCAGGGGAAACAAGAATAAAGTGCCCTGATGCTTTCCCTCTCCTTGTGTGTGAGGCCACCGAGAAGAGCACCTGCCACCTGTCCCTGCTGTGGAGGGGACAGAGGAAGAAAGGAAAGAGAGATGCTTGCTACAGGTGTCTCAGCGGTCCTCTGAAAATGCAGTCTGGAGGGATCGGAGGCCTTCGTCCCTGGCCTTGGCTGAATCGGCGATGGAGCTCGTGCTCCCTCCCTGGAGGGAGCCCCTTCTGTGGCTGAGCTCTTCCTCCTGATAGTATACAGACTCCTTCATGTCCTTTTCCTCGCTGCTCTGAGCACTCTGTTCATAGGTACTAATGTGTGTGGCTAGGAGTGTGGCCTCAGGGAACCAGACTTTGAACCTGAAGGGACCCAGATGTAATCTCTGGCGGTGTTTTCAAACTTTAAAACTTCACTCCAGAGCTGAGGCAAATTTTCACATGGCAGTCTACAGTAGACAGTATACAGGGCTACTCGCACATCTGGAATGAAAGCTTGCGGAAGTAACGGCTCACACGACGTGATATGCACCCCAACATTTTTTATCCTATTCTATTTGATGTTGGCTGAAATCCAGAGTTGTTTTTGTGTTTTCTAATGAGTCCAGGATGGCCGTACGATACTCACTCATCCATGACAATTGTCTTAGGGTTCAGACCAGGAAATTGAGGTTAGGAAAGGTTTTAGTGACCTGGACAAGGTCACACAGCTACTGCCTAGGTGTTGAGCCAGTATAGAGCACACGAAGCCAGATTGTCTAATAAATAATGACAAAAATAATTATTAATATTAATTATAAATAACAAGCTGTCTTCTTGGAAAGCAATGTCCCGATACTTTGAAAGGTATACACCATTAATTATTGAAATATACAAGTTCTTATTGGTGGAAAATGAGTCACCCCAAAGTAAAACTAAATAGGATCTCTTTCCCCCAATCCTTGTGTACATCTCATTTTGGGTTTCAAACTGACATGTCAAGAGATCTGTCTATATAAATATATGTAGAGAAAGTCTGTTTCTTTTGCAAATGTTTTCAATCATGCCTGTAATTTGGCTCCAATATGCTGGCTCAGTGTAAATGTCTCTTCCCTAACTTCTCTGATGGAAGACGCAAGACCTGCACAGCTGGTTCTTCCAAAAATGATGGGCTGTGTCTGTTGCTCACAGGAGGGCCACACCTCTGTGACCAGAGGGGACCTCTCAGAACTGTCTCAGCTACACCCTTAGGGGCTGAGCTAGTTCTGCCTCGGAAGTAGGAGGTCACCTAGCCACGGTGAGTCCAGAACATTCTCGGCAAAGCTCATCCATTTCTAAGCCATTCTTCTAGACAGTTCCCCACTCCAGGTACCAGGCACTGCAGCTGCCTGTGATCTCACCAACCCTGTAGGAGCAATGTTTCCATTAACCTGCGTTAGCCCGTGAGAACGCGGCCCTCACTGTTAGCAACTGGCATACTTTCCTTCGATAAAGTATGGGTGCCTTCCTGCGCTCCCTATTTTTAGCCTGTTTTTAAAATATCTCCCTCAGCCAAAGCAAACACACCCTCCAGCCCCCAGTCCTACCTCTCCAGTGTCAAGATTGGCTGCAAACCTGCCCAGGATGTGGAGCGGGGGAGGCAGTGTGCCTGCTCTGGCTTCTTTGTGCCATTTTGTTTTCGCTGCTCTGACACCTTTGCACCGGTCCCTATGTCAGCTGATGGGAGCAGCCTTGACCTTTTACAACAATTGGCCTCTGTCTTTACATTGGCTCTCTTCACTCACTGGGACCCATCGGGATCACCTTAGGGCCCCTTTCAACCTACCCTGTGAAATGGCAACAGGGCAGAAAGTGACAGCGAAGTAGAGGCGCGGCTTCTGCGGACACACCGGCATAGACGCTGGTACTTGCCGTTTGCAAATGTGAAAATGTCACAGGTCGTTTCTGAGCGTGGTGCAGCTGGAAGCTTAACACGCTCTGGGTGAACATATGGAGCACATGTGCAGACGCACTGAAAATTAGGCATGAAAGCCATATATGCAAAATTACCATGGAAATTCCCGCTCTGATCACTGTGAATCGCTCTGGGGTGCCGGGCTCACTTGCTAAGCTCCACAGTCCCTTCCAGAACCCCTCTCCCTCCCTTGATCTACCTCAGAAGACAGTGAAGGCACATCCAATCCCGTCCTGCTCAAGGATGGCTACCTGTGAAGAAGTCCTCGCTGAGGAGACAGGAAGGACTGGTCAGAGTGTGATTAGAACATTTAAAATTCAGTTTTAAAAACTGGCATCTTTTCATGTTGTCTAAAGATACAACACAGGGCTAAACTGTGTTTATTTTGGCAGATACATGGGTGACTCTTGTAATGGACAGGTAGCCGTAGTGTGTATATTTCTGGCAGATAGAGTGTGCTTTGGCCCCTGTACCTACCTATAAAGAAATAAGCAATCGTGACGTCTCATTTCCTCTTGCTCTCTTGTTCTCCCCCCCCCAAAAATGGTGTAGAAATTGCTATGAAATAGAAAATATTCATTCCTCAGAAGAAAAAAAAAACAGCAGCTCTCACATCCTGGGAGAAAGATGTTCTAAGCAATCTCTGCTTCGTTCTGTCTCTTCTCTTTAGGTAAAGGGACACAGTGCCCCACAGCTTAGTGTGGCATTTTGGAGGAAGATTGCCACCATGGTGGGGAGTGGCTCACAGTTGCATCTCCTGCTGACATCAAGCTATTCAAGTGACATTGAAAAACGGGGGGTGAGGTGGGAGTGGACGAGGAGGACATGTGAGTTATTTCCAAAAGGGGTGGTGATCTTTGGGGAAATCATACTGCCTTCTACTGTCTCTGCCTTCATGATCCAGTTTATCCCCGCTAGATTGACACGCTAAAGAACCTGGGACAGAAATATGAGCAAAACACGTTCTTTAGTATCAACCTCCCAATGAAAGCCACAGGGAGGAACATGAGCCTTGCTGATTTTAATAGTCCATGTCATGACTGTGACTGTGGCTACTTCAGTAAGCCTTTACTAACGGATTAGGTTCAACATTCACTTGCATGTATAGAATATAGAATATCAAGTTTGCCATCCATATATATAGAGTTGCCCGCGCTTAGTTCCCAGACAAACTCAGATACCCAGATGCGTAGCTTGTTGATGGTACCAAGAGAGACAACGGACGTAAGGCCCATAGAGAAGTAATTCACCCTAGGAAATCTATCTAAAATCAAAACAATTTCCTATCAATCAATCCAGAAAAATGGAACAAAGGAAAGAAGGCAAAAAGGGAAGGAAGAAGGGAGGGAGGGAAAGGAAAGGAAGATGGTGATTTCTGAGGTGGCCTCCCATGATCAGCACCTGCTGATGTTCACATCCTGGGCCATTTTTCTTTTTGAGCATGAACTGGACATACAATTA